GGTGTCTGCTGGGGAATGTATTTCCGGTGGATTAAGGACGGGAAAATCCGTGAGCTCTCAGATTGTATTGCAAAGTCCTTAGTCAATCAAAGCCACCTATATGAGCCGGTTGTTTCGGTAGGGCCGTAGAAGCGTGGGAGAGTGGCGTCACGTGGACTGGAACGCTTATATGGATGACGACTGGACGTACTCGACGAACTCGGAGCTGGCACTGGCATATTAGCCTGATAAAGAAGGAGAGGTCGTTGGCTTTGTGATCACAGCTAATTGAGGGACCACCGTGAATAAATAATTATCCAGATTAAGATATGGTTGAAGAGCTATGGGCGGCCTAGGATCCGATCTGATTTAGAAATTTTACTTTCGCGCTGCCGTTTTGGATGGCGTTTTCCACATCTGTGGCCGCCAGCATACGTCTGATGAGGTGGGTGTTTTTCGGAGCTGATCGGCGAACGTGATCGTTAACGACGGACCCGAGTCTTTGTTTTCAACTGCATGAGGAAAATTTCTTCCCGTGGCTCACTTTGAAGCCATGCTCCTGAACACGACCAAGCATGTAATCAAGGCGCTGCCAAGGTTCGCTGAGGTTCGAAATCTTCCAAATAGTTGATTACGCCGAGGGCATCCTTCGGTGTCATGGCCATATTCTGTTGAACTATGGCTGGCGCCGCTTTCACAACCAACGGCAATCGGCTTTACTACAACAGACCGCAACGCGTATTGATCGTCAAAGGTTCTCGGGGTCCCCCTAAAGTTCTACCTGGAGTAACGCATTGGTCAAGTCAATCCCCGCGAAATATTTGCACCGACTCAGTTTTGCGAACATGTCTGAAATGAGTAGAATTTCTTCGTATGTATCCAGTGCCGCGGTGAGACTACTGAAAAAGTCTGCGCGAAACCAGACGCTCCCGTTAGGTTTCTGTAACAGTACGATCATTTCGGTTCATGCAGAGTAGTTGGTCGCTTAGAGAACACCAACCTTCTGTAGTCAACCAGTTTTGGCTGCATACGGTAACGTGTTTTGGTTTGACAACCGGTCTGGTATTAGGGAGAAAGCACAGTCTAGCTTTTGCCTCAGTGAACTGCCCAAGCCTGTCGTCGAATATAGACACATGATTTTGCAGGAGGTCCTCAAGGTTATACTTCGGAAAGTGAGTGTGCTCAAGGAAAGATACGGTTGCTGTGTGCATCGTGTTCCAGTAAGAATTGATTAGTTTTTGTAACAGATACACCTTATCGACCGAATCCGGCCTCACGAGGTCAAGTTTGAAGAGGACATCAGGTAGCAAGTGGTTTGTACCGTCGGACCATTAAGACTATGGAAGAGAAAACCTCGCCAGCCAATTTCAGTTTTACACAGAAGCATTACGTGGTCAATGTTCGATCGGCTTCACATGCGGCTTACCAACCCATTTGCACTGAGCGACTTGATATCGACCAGAAGGCCAGTCAGAACAGTGCTAGCACTCAGTAGCATGCTTGCACTGCTTTTAAACGAGCTTGCTCTCGGAAGTTTTCGGGACACCGGATCTGAGTGCGTGTACACTGTTGCTTGAGGTAATAGAGACTGGCCGATCATAGTCATGTCGTGCTTCCAGTTGATGAGGCGCTGACATTCGGTGGGAAGGCTCTGAAACACCATTTTATTATCCTTTTCCGTTAGTTGAAGAAGCTGGGTTCCAATGTCTCTATCTTGAGACTGCGAGAGACCTGACACAAGAATGAAGCACTTGAACGGATCACGCATAACTGGACTAAGCGAGAAACGCTCGCATTCCCGATTGAAAACAGCGGCAAAAGTGACCAAATCGTCACTATCTTACTCGACCGGCTTAAGACATTGGTAAGGTATATCGAAGATTGACTTTTGATCCCCGAATATCTGAGACAGCGTCCTGACCGTTTACTCCGAACTGAAGTTGAGCATCATGGAAGAAATTGTGGAGGATTAGGACCTTATCAGTGTTCGGATAAATTAAGAAGCAAAGTAACCAATACAAAATCACAAAATCACAATAGGAAAAGAATGAGTAGTCAAATGGGGACTCACGAATGTGTAGATCCAATAGTCCACTACACTGGGGAATTTGCGGGTAGTAGGGGTTCCGCGAGAAGGGGACAGTGTCATGAATAGTGAGAAGTATTCGATGAAACAATAATGAGTTTCTTTCGCAACTTGTAGGGAACAATGGTCATGGTGTCCGAATAACTCAAATACTCAGTCGGCTGACACGAACTAGAACATAAAACCATTGCTGGCCACGAGTGGACTCGGGCGGTTGGGTAAATGGCCGGTGTCACAACGAGCAAAAGTGCAGGCGGAGGCGGGATAATTCGAATTGGGGGAACATAGCAGGTTTAGTTTCAGAATTACGGTGCAATCTGAAAACAAGCAGACTCACGGGCTTCACTGACGTAGGGAGGTCAAGTGCCGGTGTTAGGATGATGGGGTCACAGAGGTGGTCGAATTAGAACGAGTGGACCATCAGGTTGGAATGAATGTAGTGGTGGTGGTTGGGGTTAATGAAATGAGTAGGCAAGAGGGCTCGGTTGGGAGGAGGGATAGAACAGTTGCGGGTGTGCTACCAAACTGAGTATGGCAGTGCCGTGCCATCATTGGCTTGACGTGCTTCAGTTTTTGGACAGCCCGGTGACGGATGTGACATTTGAGATGACTCGGCTGGGGGTGTGCAGTTCATAGGGCAGAGGTATTCATTTCAGCCTGGTCGAGGAAACAAGCTGGAACGAAGCCGATAGAGGATTGTAGGGTTTTGTGGTCCGTCCGAGTCAAAAATATATCCTAGAATTTCTAGTGACGAAACCCCAAATTGGCATTTAATGCGATTGATGACTACACCATACTGCTGAAATCTTTCAAAAACTTGTTTTAAGTGAAGCACGTGCTCGTCTTCGGACCGACTGGCGATAAGTACATCATCGATATAAGCATAGACGAAGTCTAATCCACTTAAAACTTGATCCATGAATCGTTGAAGTGTTTGAGCTGCATTTCTGAGCCCAAATGACATACGAACGGATTCATACAGACCGAATGGGATGGCGACAGCAGTTTTGGGAATATCGTCTGGAGCGACAGGTATCTGGTGTTACGCTCCGACAAGGTCTAATTTACTGAAGACATATTTGCTATGAAGAGTAAGGGCGCAATCATGTAGATACGGAATTGGATATTATTCCGGGATGGTGACACGATTTAGTGCGCGATAGTCGGCACATGGTCTCCAATCTCCCTCGGACCATTTGGGGACCATATGCAGTGGAGATAACCAAGGGCTGCATGATGGTCATATGATACCCAGTTGAAGCAAATGCTGGAATTCGGTTTTGACTATGGCAAGCTTTTCGGGAGCTAACCGTCGTGGGTGGGATGCGGTGGGTGGGCCTTTGGTCGAAATATGGTGGAAAACATCATGTTTTACGGGAGTGGTCTTGGAAGCAGGTTTCAGGATCTCTGGAAATTGACAAAGCAGTGCTGTGCAACGATTATCCGGCAAAGCTGAGCGAAGTCCAGTAGAATTAATGGATGAGGCTTTGTCATTTATGAAGAGAGTCGTCGAATCTCCAAGCGACTGCCGTCCGTGGAGATCAACCGTGAGACCAAATGACGTGAGGAAGTCCAGATCAATAATTGGTTTTTTAACGTCGGTCACTGTGAAAACCCACGAAAACTGACGGCGAAGAACTAGATCGAGAGTAAGAAGCTTTTCACCATAGGTCACAATGCTCGTACCGTTGGCTGCCTGCAGAGTATATGCCACCGGCAGTAGGTCATGCTTGCGTGTAGGAGGAATTGCACTAACATCAGCCTTCATATCAATGAGGAAATTCAAGGATCTGGAGCGGTCATATACGAAGAACAGACGACAGTTAGAGGAGCCGGTTACAGTGGTCGCCATTACTGGCCGGCCGTGGCGTTTCCCGAATTCGAAAGTTTCGTGGAGAAAGTGCAAGTTCTGGTGCATCGGCTAGCGCGGTCGCCGAAGCGACGGTGATAGTAGCACCAGCCAAGTTGGTCACTGTGCTTGGGAGCATGACTAGACCTAGATCGTCTATGTCGTTGAGGGCGACCAATGAATTTTGTGACTTCATTCAGTTGGAGGGATAACTCAGAAAATTGAGCTTTCATTGCATTAAACTCGACCTCCAGGTTAGATTGCGAAGTGCATTGTTGCTGAAATTTAGAGACCACGAATTGCCTGCAGGTTTGAAGGACGCGGCCAGCCACCTCGGCTAGCTTCGCTAAGGAAGAATCCTGTTCGATGACAGAAATGAATTTACGGACTTCGATGGGCAGGCTTTGTTCCCAAAGCTCTTTTGCAACCGCGTCGTTGACCGGGTGCTTACCTTGCAGGTGCATCATGTGGCGGAGATGTTTGACGGTGTTTTTATCGCCGACGCCAACACCGGAGAGAAGCTTCCGCAGATGCTGTTCATCGCTGAAAGCGGCACGAGAAATGATAGCTGCTTTGAGAGCACCATATGGATCGGTGGACGGTCGGGTGTATATTAAATCAGGGACTTATCGGGCAACGAAGTCTGGTATGCATCCTACCACATAATTGTATCCGCTGCTCCGCGAGGTAAGGCAACGCGATTCGGAAATGGCCTCAAGTTGGGCAAACCATAGCCTCGGCTCATGTGCACCGAATTCGGGCAAATTAACTTAAACAACGTTGCCTATTTCGGGTGTCTGTCTGTTCAGAAGCCGTGCTGACGTGGAAAACGAATATAATAAAGCACGGGAGTACTGCAGAGAAAAAATTAGGGTATGATTCGGGCTCACTAATTATGTAGCGGACTATGTAGCGGACTATGTAGCGGACCTTATCAGCGTGTTCGGATAAATTAAGAAGCAAAGTAACCAATACAAAATCACGGAATCACAATGAGAAAAGAATGAGTAGTCAAATGGGGACTCACGAATGTGTAGATCCAATAGTCCACTACACCGATCCAAATGTAGCAACTGGCTGTGGGAAGAAATGTTCCCTTTTCGGAGTTTCCCACAGATGGTTCCGCGTGCGTGATATATTCCACGGTGGGAAAATTATTCACGGCTAAAAAATGTCACGGGGATTTATTGTGACGTTCAACAGTTGCCGCAAACACAGAGATCTGTTCCCACTGGTTTAGCAGTCAACAAACAGTTCAACGGAGCGTAAATACACTCGTTCAGCAAGAAGTCAGCAGGTCGCACCGGAAAACTGTGTATTCGTAACAGTAAAACAAACGTCATGATACAATGTGAACGACAGTTACAAAGTGCGGTTTAAGTTCAGGATGAATGGTAAATGTGACAACGGATTACAGAGACTACAAGTTTTCGGAAAGTCTAACGCCTTTTGGATGCGGTATTCGGTGAGTACTGGATGGTGCTTAGTTTTGGGGTCCAGAATTTCGACCAATCATAGCTCGAATGGACGCCGGACCTGCAAGCTGCTCGATCTTCTGCCATTCGCGTGCGTGGTGGGGTTCTTGGCCGTGGCAGCGCGGTAAGCCGGAGTCGCTGTATACATTTCCTGCCGTTTTGGTTGATTTACGTGTATTTATTGGTGATGCACAACCTCTTTCACTGAGCTTCGGCTCATGTGCTTTCTGTTATCCATCTGCCGAAGTTGTGAACATCTACATTCGGGACATCACTGTCCCCTGATGCTCCCATAGCGTGCATATTACGGTATGAAATCCCACCTAACAATTTACAGGCGTAATACTGTACAGGCATTTCAGATGAAGCCGATCGAAGACCTGGGTATGACGCTGACGTTCTTCATGTCTCGCAGCAGTGTAGAAGTACCAGCAATATGATTGCACGGCGTAAGGCGGTGTTCCTGTTCACTCTCAGGTAGTTTTCGCTCCAACAGGGCGACGTTAGCCGATAAGTTGCTTTGTAGTCACCCGAGCAGTACGTTAGTTCGCTAGCAAGGAGCTCGGTGTTTTGCAAATTTAAGCTTCTCCTAGAACCCTATTGAAGGCCCCACAGTTGGCCAAAATGTAAGACAGCAAGCACCACGACTCCGCATTAGTATGTGCTAACACAGCACAACCGCCAGCAGAAAACAACACAGGACCTTCGAGTCACGTATCATTCGTTTGGGTACAAAGTTCCGGTGGTCTCGCGAATGGTGATATTTCCATCCGGATTGAGGCCAGAGCAGCTTTTTTTAACCTGCGTCACCTGTGGTGTGGGCGCGACATCAGGTTATCTGGCTTGGTTACGTGCTGCGTTTGTCGGTCGACCGACTTCTTCGAAGGGCTCTTTTTGCACAACCACGGGAAGGGTGGAAACGAGCCAGAGGCGGTCAACCAATAACTTGGCCATAATAAGCAAACTCAGCTGCGCTGGTCACTGCTGTCTTCCTGGATGGGGACCCCGAGACGGGCCACATCAATGGCTGGAGACATTGTCAGACATGGCCCAGTCGCGCCCTCAATAGTGCTCGTGCATCCAAGCTATTACCTTCAATGCATAGCTTCTTTCCCAATCCCTTCACTTGACAATCCCCTGGCAGTGCCGTATTCACGCACAAATTTATCAGCTCCCGCCTCCAATGCGCAGCTACCTACCCCACCTCCACAAATCATCGGTGAACGAAACTGTGGCAGCTACAACCACTGTACGAGGTTAGTACAGTTGACAATGATGATTATGCACACTCTTTTTGGGTTAGGCCCTGTGTTTTGGTCAACGAAATCTTATAATGTGGCATTCTGATTTATTTTTGGTCCTCATGGCTATCCCGAAGAAATTCTCAATGTCATATACACTCTTTGCAACCCAGCAAATCTGATCTTTCCATCCTTAGCGAGTGCATGAATAAATGGGGCCGATGTGAAAAATAGTTTAGTGCAGACAGAAGAAAAACTTCACTAGTGCTAACAAGGATGAAACAACACTTGGAATCAACAAACCTTGCGTGAGGCGACCAGGGTCTTTTCTTCCTTTTTCATTGCTGCCCGTTTACGGTCGTAATACCTGGCAAGAACAAAACCCAGTTAGGAAATAACAGACAGAGGTGATGAAAACATAGAAACCGATCTACGGGGGATGGTCAGAGGTCTCACTTGCGCGCGTTGTTCAGTGCATTCAAATCCAAACTGATCACAACTTCAGTGGAGGTCTGGTTGCGTTCACAGTTTTCGCCGTCTGAATCACCTTCATACGGGTCTCTGGACACGATCAATACAGAAAGAGACAAAACCGTACTTTAGGCTAACAGTTATCTGATTTTGTTGTAAATTGAGTTGTACAATATGACTGGCAAGGAGATCGCCGCGTGCTCGTGCTTCTTGGATCATAGTGTCCAAAGTTCCCCAGTCCAATTGATTCGAAAGTGCATGGTTAATCATCAGGATGATGCTATCGACCTACAACAAAAAGAAGTGTACGGTAGGGTTTAATTGTGCATCACATTTGCGAAGAACTCAACATCCTAAAATACAGCGAAATGTTTGTTGAAACTTTTCGGGGCAGCATTGAAAAAATATCGAACTAGATATCGTAAAGCAAACTGCGAAGGGTACGTTATTGATCTTGCGACAAGCTAATAATGAATACCAGACACTGGAGGCCTCAATACTGAATATGGCTGTTTTGAGGCCATTTGTTCTATCAAGCTTTGACTCGTCAAAATAATACCAGAGGATGGAGACAGAATAGAAGCCAACGTAGAACGTAACCGGTTGAGCATAACTGCTCGAAAGACGTGGAGGTGCCGATCAATAGGTTACGAGTACCACGTCCGAGCTGATAAACACGCTGCAGAGATAAAGGAAAACTGCAAGAAACGCGTCCACATTACGTGACTGAAAGTAGGACGATGGTAAATTTGCGAGTAATGCGAGCCCTTCGGACGTATACGGATGGATCTTACAAAACATCTAGACACGGGTCCCGTCCACAACGCATACGTTTGTTGCGAACAGTACAGCCATTTATGCACACATTTTAGGTCTCGAGTGATCGTCAGATCCATTACGAGGCTTCATTTTGAAGTGTCAGTTTGTGTCAGTTCAATCCGGACATAAACCCGACAAACTTGGTTGAACAGTTTTGCCGCAGCCAGTTTGGGAATTCCCCATGCTTTTTTAACTCAGGAGCCGGTTAATCTGTTGAAGCTTTTGCTATCCACATCGCGTGGGGAGCTTGTAGTATCGCAAGCTGACAATCATACGAGTTCACCTTCAAAACAGGATTTCATGGGTTATATAGAGATCTCCTGGGAGATGAATTCAGAAGTTCAACCTCTGATTTCATAAGTGATAACATGATAGTCTACGTAACTGCACTAAATACTGTAATGATACCCTGGTTATAACTCCTTGAATAGCTACCCAAACGTTGATTTGGTTTATTGTTTAATCAAAAACAATTGTGATAAAAAGCACCAACGAATCACCGTCCAAAAACGAACGACCTTGGCCGATTACT